CCCATAATGAAAACAGTGTAGTCAAAGAAGCAAATGGTCTTATTTAGAAAATAGACTTAATGGCCTAATTGGTATTATGCCATTGCTGCTATCTCATAAAATATATCCTACTTGTGAAGAAATATTCACAATGACAGTCCTGGGATAGGACGTTGTGGTTTTTAAAGAAAACAAGTCTGATTGGTGAAGTTTATTTGGAATAAAACTCAAATTGCTTTAGTCATTTAAAATGACACTGTCTAAACTGTTTGGACCATTTTTTTTTCTTTTTTTAATTGTCAATGGACTTTATTTTATTTATATATATGTGGTGCTGAGGATTGAACCCAGTGCCTCACACATACTAGGTAAGCACTCTATCACAGAGCCACAGTCCCTACCCTGGACCATTCATTTTAATGCCAAATATTAAAAGTGAGAAAACATTGCATCTATTTCATATTTGTCTTATGAAATGTGTACTGAAGTTTGTCAAGGTAAGATGACAAACATAACTTCATGAGATGTCACACTGTCTTGATTGTCCTAAGACTGGAGAGAAGCAGCTATCTAGGGCATTCTTGTGGTACACTATGTGATTATTTCAGAATGTCTGATTAGCTTTCTGGTTGACATGACTTTCTCTATGTAAGGGTCAGTTTTTGTATTTCTTAGGTACTTCACCTTATTTATGAACCTTTTGAATGACTGTAGTGAAGTTGAAGATGAGAATGCACAAACAGGTGGCAGAAAACGTGGTATGTCTCGGAGGCTGGCATCCTTAAGGCACTGTACAGTCCTTGCAATGTCAAACTTACTCAATGCTAATGTGGACAGTGGTCTCATGCACTCCATAGGTGAGATAAATTGAAGACTTCATATGTAAAACTAAAAGTGTTGGCACTTAAGTAAAAAATTACTTCATCAAGGCTCTGTTGTGTTGGTAAACTTGCATCTGTCTTTTTCAGGTTTAGGTTATCACAAAGATCTTCAGACAAGAGCTACATTTATGGAGGTTCTGACAAAAATCCTTCAGCAAGGAACAGAATTTGACACACTTGCAGAAACAGTGCTGGCAGATCGGTTTGAGAGACTCGTGGAGTTGGTCACAATGATGGGGGATCAGGGAGAGCTCCCTATAGCTATGGCTTTGGCCAACGTGGTTCCTTGTTCTCAGTGGGTAAGTTTATTGAGTAAATGGGGAAGAAGAGTTCTTGGCACATAACAAATGCTTCAAAATGTATTTGTTCAATGAATATTTATTGGATGAATTGATAAAATTTAAGAGCTGGGAGAAAGGTTATGTGCTTAAGTGGTGTGTCATTATATCATACTGGAAAATCTGTTCTATCAAAAATAACTTCAGTAATAGTAAATAGTAATAGTAAATTCTCCCTAATAAGGTAATCTGTCACTGCTTGTAGATGTGTTTCTACTTAAAAGCTCTAGGAGCCAGACATGTTGGCACATGCCTGTTATCTTAACTCTACTCATGAGGCTGGGGCAGGAGGGTCAAAAATTCAAGGCCAGGGCCTGGGAATGTGTCTCAGGCGGTAGCGCACTCGTCTGGCATGTGTGCAGCCCAGGTTCGATCCTCAGCACCACATACCAACAAAGATGTTGTGTCCGCCGAGAACTAAAAAATAAATATTAAAATTTCTCTCTCTCTCTCTCTCTCTCTCTCTCTCCCCTCTCTCTCTCTCTCTCCTCTCTCACTCTCTCTTAAAAAAAAAAAAAAATTCAAGGCCAGCCTGGACAACTTAGTGAGACCGTGTTTCAAAATAAAAAGAACTGAGGATGTAGCTCAGTGGTAGAGCATTCCTGGATTCAACCCCAGTAAAACCTATGCCTCCTATCCCCAATGTAGGATCATATTTCTCATAAAGTTGAATTCAAACTCTTTACCATAGTCTACAAAGCTATACTTGATCTGGGCCCTGCCTCATCTCTGTCCTTATCTTATGCTATTTTTCCTTTTTTTCAGTAAAGTTAAGCTACTTTGGCTACCCTCTGTTTCTCAGATGTGTTGTATTTATTTCTGCCCTTAGGAAACTCTTGTTGCTGTAGCTATCTAAAATGCTTCTCCTCTGATTATTCTGATTTGATTCTTATAAGAAAACTTAACACAAGGCCTACCCTTTAAACAAAATTTTAAGGGTACAATATATAATGATATCTATAGGCAGAGTATTACATAGTAGTTCTCTAGAATTTAGTTGTCTTGCGTAACAGACTTTTTATACCTCTTGATGAACAATACCCCCAAATTATTGAAATCATCCTGAAGCCTAAAATTAGTTGATAAATCTTTAGATGTTTTGAAATTGGACACTGAATTATCTTTTTAACCGCCTGCCTGTAATTCAAACTAAAACTATTCCTTATGTCCCCACCCTGCTTCAGTACTAGGAATTGAACCCAGGGTTTAACACATGCCTGGGAAGTACTCTACCACTGAACTACATCCCAGACCCATAATTTTTTCATTTAAAAAAAAAAAAAATTGGGCTGGGTGTGTAGCTCAGTGGTAGAGCACTTTTGTAGCATGGAGGTCTGGGTTTGATCCCTAGTATCACAAGACAAAAAATAAGTTTAAGAAGCTTTATTTTGTCTTTTGATAGTAAATAATTTCTAATAAGTAGTATATTAAATAACTTCTTGTTTTGTTTTGTTCTGTTACTGGTGATTGAACCTAGGGCCTTCTGTGTAAAGGGTAAGTGCCTCGCCATTGAGTTGCATCCTCTGCCTTTAAATGACTTTGCCAAGAAATTTTATATTAGGTCAGATCTGTTAGAGCTATTTTCTAAAGGAAAACAAAATATGAAATAATATTTATTTTTTTTGTTTTTTTTTGTTTTTTATTTTTTTTGTTCATTCTTTGTTGTATGGGGATTGAACACAGAACCTTGTGCATGGTAGGCAAGTGCTCTATTACTGAGCTACATTCACAGCCCTTGTTTTATTTTAGTTTTTGAGAGAGGGTCTTGCTAAATTGGCTAGACTGGTCTTGAATTTGCAGTTTTCTTGTCTCAGTCTCCCAAGTAGCTAGGATTGCACCTCTACCACACTCAGTTACATTTTAAGAACTTTAATTCTATTTTATAGATAGATATATTTTTAAGTTCAGTTGCTTAAATTTTTCAGAATTTAGGGCAGGGGGAGGGATTTGAATTGAAAAAACTATGTAACGTGCTTGGCACGTTGCAGCAGTAACTCAGGAGGGCTGAGGCAGGAGGATCACAAATTTGCCTGCCTCAGCAATTTAGTGATACCCTGTCTCAAAATAAAAAATATAAAAAGGCCTGAGGAAGTCGCTTAGTGGTAGAACACCTTTGGCTTCAGTCCCTAGTACAAAAACCAAAAACATTTAACATAGTAATTTTGGGCTGGAGGTATGGTTGAGTAGTAGAGCACTTGCCTAGCATGCACAAGGACTCAGGATCCATGCCCAGCAGCACCGCAAAACAACACAATCTTCATTGTAATTTAAAAAATAGATCCTTTTTTTTTACTAAATTCTCATAATTTTATTCAGTAACGGAAGATAGTTTTATACTTTGTCAAATATGTATTGTGTAACTGTAGGGAATAAAGAAGAATACTGGATTTTTATAATTGATTTTGGGGGCGAGTTCTGGAGACTGAACCAAGGGGTGCCTTGCCACTGAGCCACATTCCCAGTTTTTTTTATTTTTAATTTTGAGACAGTGTCTTGCTAATTTTCTGAGGCTGGTCTAGAACTTGGAATCCTCCTGCCTCAACCTCCTGAGCTGCTGGGATTACAAGTGTGGTCCACCCAACCCTGCGGCTTCTATATTATTTGTGGTTAGGATTATTAAACTTTTTTCTTTACTCAGATATCAGATTATTGTTATCCTGGGACCAGGTTAGGTTTAAAGGGGCTATGGACCATTATCCATAATGTCACTAGTTGATTTTTTTTTTTTTAATGTTTACCTCTGTTCTCTCTAGATCTCCTCTCAGCCTGTGGTTAAACAATTTAATATGAAATCATTTTTCTTGAGTGTACCAAAACTATTGTACTCTGGGGAATCCTAAGAATTTTCATTTAATAATGGATGGAAATTTCAGCCTTCACTCCCACCCCTCTAACTTTGTATATAAATCTGACTGACCTCTTAAGTTCTGAATGCCCAGCCTGAGTCCTTTTCATCATGATTTCTTGAAAATCTGTAGTGTTTTCCATTTTTGTTGTTTTTCTACCTAGTTCATATTCTGTGTTATTGAGTTCCCCTAATGGTATGAGGAGAGATCTCTTTTGGTTACCAAAGTCATTTCTACTCAGTGATTTTCTAAGAAAAGGATCTGTGCAAATGCCTCCGCAAATCAAATTAAACTCTTTGCTGTCATTCTCTATTTCATCTTTAACTTTGTGATATAATTTGAGCTGAATCCTGGGGTCTTTCTGCCCCTTGGTAAAGCCTAGGGCTCTCTTACCTTTCACTGGTTAATCTTTCACTGTATGCCTACAGTAGCTGTTATCTATCAAAAACAAATGTATGCAGACAAATCCCAGAGGAAATATTAATCAGCAAGTTATTATCAACTTTGGATTGGCCTTTTTGTCAATCTTTGGCTTCCTGCTTAAGAAAAAAGTAAAATTGTTATCACTAACATATTTTTGTTGTGTTTTTAGGATGAACTAGCTCGAGTTCTGGTTACCCTTTTTGATTCTCGGCATTTACTCTACCAACTACTCTGGAACATGTTTTCTAAGGAAGTAGAATTGGCAGACTCCATGCAGACTCTTTTCCGAGGCAACAGCTTGGCCAGTAAGATAATGACATTCTGTTTCAAGGTTTGTATCATTCACTTTTTGTGTTATATTAAAGTTTGTCACACAGTAATTAGTATAAAATATGCAGATATAGTTATCTTTTTTAAAGCAAATTCTATGAAGCTGGCATAATAAATCTCCAGTTGTGCATTTCTTTAGGTATATGGTGCTACCTATCTACAAAAACTCTTGGATCCTTTGTTACGAATTGTTATCACATCCTCTGATTGGCAACACGTGAGCTTTGAAGTGGATCCTACCAGGTTTGTCTGCTCTCTGTTTTTTTTTTCAGAATCACTGCATGAGGCAAGGCCTTTATAATTTCTCCCTTTCAATCTTAAAATCAGCTTAAAACTAATATTAGTTTTTAATTATGAAAGTATACATAAACATTTTGTTTAAAAAAGTGAAACATTACAGGTATTATTAATGGAGTCTTTGACTACCACCTTCAGAGACTGTTAGTTTTATTCTATTATGTCCTTTTTTTCACATATTTACATGTATGTAATTGTAGCAAATATATATATTATAATGTAAGTACTTTATATTAAATGGTAATATGCATGGTTTTCAACTTAATTTTTTAAACTGTTTTAGATATTTCTAAGCCAATTTTTGGAGTTAAATTTTATTTATACATTGATGAATAATATTTCATAATTTATATTATATTTTATTTGGTCATTACCATAGCCATGTGTGTTTGTGTGTGTGTTGTTGGGATTTGAGCCCAGGGCCTTACACATACTAAGTAAGTATTCTGCCACTAAACTACATCCCCAGCCCACATTTTAACTTTTGCAGTAGCTTCCTAAATATTGTTCAAGCATCGTCTTTTCATTTTCAGTAGAAATTAGTCTTTTAAACATGAAAATTTTTAATATTTATTTTAATATTTCAATATTAAAATAATATTTCAATATTAAATTAATATTTTAATTTTAATATTTATTTTTTAGCTGTAGGTGGACACAATATTTTTATTTCATTTTTGTTTTTTTATGTGGTACTGAGGATCGAACCCAGTGCCTCACACGTGCTAGACAAGCGCTCTACCACTTAGCCACAACCCCAGCCCCATGAAATTTTTTAAGATATATTTTTATTTGTAGATGGACACAGTATCTTTATTTTAATTCTTTATTTTTATGTGGTGCTGAGGATCAAACCCAGTGCCTCATGCGTGCGAGGCAAGTGCTCTACCATTGAGCCACAACCCCAGCTCCAAACATAAAATTTTTGTGTCACTTGATTAGAATCCACTAATGGTTCCCTTTTGACAGCAAGATAAAGAACATACTCATTTGCTTTGTAATCTGGCTGTAATCTACCTTTACTTTTTCATGTTTTCATATGTGCTGTATATTCTAAGTTCCAAGGAATTATGCACACATTACTACTTTTAAAGTGGTCTGGTACAAGGGATTCCTTGGGGTTGGAGGTACTTAGATATCTCACATGTTGGCCCAAATTCAAAACCAAGAAGGCATAGGGCAGATCAAAGGAAGGTACCCAGAAACTGGAAATCAGTCTGATAAACATAATTGAAGAATGTGACTTTAGATCCTATGGGCAAATAGGTGGCTTGCTTAACACTTCATCTTGAAGTAGTTTCATCCACCTTATGCTATACCCAGCTGGTTAACTAGAGGTTTCAGTACTAGGGGCAAGCCTTTTTACCACACAAGTGGAAAGCAGACCAGAACATATTTCTGCAGACACACATATCTAGAGAGATGAAAATGGCACTTAGCTGAGCATGATAAAACTTTTTTCCTAATTCATTCTCCTCTTATAATGAGGAATGACTTAGGGGAAGGAAAAGAAGCCAGTGGTAAAGCAGGGTGCAGTTTAAACATCATCTTTTTGAAGCTTTCTCTGCCTGTCATTAGGTGCCACTCACAATATGCATGAACAAAGAAATAATCCTTTTTCTATGCTGAATACCACACTGTAAGATTTGTGATGATTTGTTTTATTAGCTTATCTTCCCTCTAGATTATTGACTCTTATACATTTTCTACAACTTTTATTCCTTTTTATCCTTTCATGAGTACAGCATGGTATCTAGCTTATGGTTAACGTTTTATAAATATTTTTTGAGTGAGTGAAAAAATTTTTTATCCTGGTACTGGGGTTTGAACCCAGGAACTTTCTAAGAAAACTTCTGAGCTAAATCCTTAGCCCTTTTCTAAAATTTTATTTTGAGACAGAGTCTTGCTAAGTCGCCTAGCCTGGCCTTGAATTTATGATCCTCCAGTCTGAGCCTGTGAGCTGACATTATAGCTATATTGACATTATAGCTGACATCACAATTCCTAGGTTAATGAATGAATTTTAACTGATAATCTTATGCTTGATTTTTCTAAGCTGCATATTTACATTCATTTATCTGTCAGTATCAATCTGAAAAGTTAAGGGTATTCTTTTACTTTAAAGTTAAAAGGTTTAAAAAAATATTTTTAATTGTAGATGATGGATGCAGTATTTTTTTTTAAAAAGAGTTTTATTTATTTTTATTTTTATAGGGTGCTGAGGAGCGAACCCAGTGTCTCACACATGCTAGGCAAGCGCTCTACCACCGAGCCACAACTCCAGCTCTCAAAATGTCTTGATATTTGTTCTTCCTAAATAATTATTACTTAGCAACTTGTTATCAGTTGGTATTTTTGGCTCTGCCTTTGCTGAAGTTTTAACTGTAATATCTGATAAGAACTCGAGCATTAGCATGGCATTGTGGTGTGATCATGTAATCCCAGCCACAGAGGAGGCTAAAGCAGAAAGATTTTAAGTTTAAGGCCAAGCCTGGGCAAGTGAGTGAAACCTTGTCTCCAGGAAAATTTTAAAAAAGGGCTGAGGATGGTGATAGGCCCTGAATTCAATCAGTAGCATTAAAAATAACAACAACAATATGAAAATCTCCAAAATTAAATTAGGGAATTTGTTAAAATAGATAAAGACTTAAAAGTAACAACTTTTTAAAGCTATCTTGTATTTTTTAACATTAAGCAGTTTCATCTGTTGTTGTTTTTTTTCCCCAAAGTATATAATATTATTAACTGTAGTCAATAATGCTATAGAATAGAACTCCAGAATTACTTATTTGTCCTAACTGCAACTTTGTTCCTTTGACCAGCATATTCCCATTGCTTTCCTCTACCCCTCACTTTTAGCCCTGGCAACTACCAGTCTGCTCTCTGCATCATGAGTTTGACCTTTTTAGATTCCACATATAAGTGAGATCATGCAATATTTGTCTTTCTGTGCATGGCTTATTTCACTTAGCATAGCATTATTCCAGGTGTATCCATGTTGCCCCCAAATGACATAATTTGTTTTTTAAGACTGAATAGTATTCCACTGTGTGTATATGTGTATGTATTCACATATATATCATACTTTATTTAGCCATTTATCCATTGGTGGATTCTAGATCATGGCTATGTGAATAATTGTGCAGTGAACATGGGAGTGCAGATATCTCTTCAGTATATTTGGTTTAGTTTCTTTTGGATATATACACTTAGAAGTGAGATTGCTAGGTAATTCTATATTTAATTAAAAAATTTTTTTTTTGTAGTTGGACAGCATGTCTTTATTTTTATGTAGTGCTAAGGATTGAACCCCAGTGCCTGACACGTGCTAGGCAAGATCTGCACTCAAAACTATTCCAGGTCTTTTCTGACCTAGTTAGTGCTTAGGCAGTTAGCAAATTCTGTCTGTTGTTTTCCATAATGGTTCTTCTCATTTACATTTTCACCAGTAGCATACATTGATTCCCCCCCCCCTTTTTTTTTAATCCTTCCAGCACTTATTTTCTTTTTTTTGGGGGGGGGGTAGGGGTTAAACTCAGGGGTACTCCACCACTACATCCTCAGAGCCACCCCACCCCCAACCCCCCCGCCTTTTTTTTTGCTGGGCATTGAACCAGGGCCTTGTGCAAGCAAGGCAGGAGGATTGCAAGTTTAAGGCCAGCCTAAGCAACTTAGTGAGACCCTGCCTCTAAATAAAAAAGGGTTGGGAATGTGACTCAGTAGTTAAGTGCTCCTAGGTTCAATTCTTGGTACCAAAAAAAAAAAAAAAAAACAACCCAACAACAAAAAATGTTTTCTTATGCTTTTGTCTAGTAGTTTTATGAAAGTTTTAATCTTATATTTAAGTGTTTAATCCATTTTGAGTTGATTTTTGTATATAATATGAAATAAAGGTCTGGTTTCATTGTTTTCCCATAACCATTATTATTATTTAAAATATTTTTGGGGGGCTGGAGTTGTGGCTCAGCAGTAGAGTGCTCGTCTAGCATGTACGAGGCCCTGGGTTTGATCCTCAGTACCACATAAAAATAAAAAAGAAAAAAAGAAACTATCCTTTAAAATATTTTTTTGTAGTTGTAGATAGACAGAATGCCTTTATTTTATTTGTTTGTTTTTATGTGGTGCTGAGGATTGAACCCAGGGCCTCGCATGTGCTAGGCAAGTGCTCTACCACTGAGTTACAATCCCAGTCCCAAAGCCAGCAACTCTTTTTAGATTCATCATAGGATTGAGGTTACAGGGCAAACAGATACTCCCAAAACTAGTGGCATGGATGACTATGGTGTATTACAGCTTACCAGGAGAAGAAGCTGCTGGAGCCAGTAACTGGTGGGAACACTTAGACAGTAATTGATGAATTGCTAGGGACTAAGTTTGGTCTAGCTTGAGAGTTAAAACTCCTGGGGGCCCAGTCTTAGAGGAACCCCTACACCTTTGTGAATTTTACCTCCAGAAGCCTTACTAGGTTTTCATGATGAAGATGGGGAAAAAAATCTCTTTGTACTTTGAGCAGGGGATGGGGATAAATAATAATTTAAAAATATGCTCTTAGTATTATACTTAACAAAGATCTGCACTCAAAAGAAAACTACTCAAGTCTTTTCTGACCTAGTGCTTGGGCAGTTAGCAAATTGTGGCCATTCTAGCCTTCCTGCCTAAATGTAGGGGGGGTGGAGGAAAGAAAAGCTAAGAAACTCTTGTGAAGGTCACAGCTCATGGACTTTGGCCCAATAAAACAATGGAGATAAAATCAACTTGTAGAATATGTCCCTTTCCCAATATATGATCACAGTGTTCTAATATATTAACAATGAATTATAACTCAAGGAGAGCTACAACATAGAGACTCCATATAAGATGTTTTCAGGGAAACCAAAAGACAAGGTAGACCAGAACAAGAACACAAGAGGAAATGGATACCTATAGCTATAGCAAACATTAAACAC